ACGGATGGAGACCCCTATGGTGGCGCTGCTTTTTGTTGTTTGCGCCCAATAGGCCAATAAAGAAAGAAGATTTGGCCATTACGCCAGGGTGGTGATTGAGGTACTGCCTCTTGCGGTTGTTTTTTGCGGTGGTGATGGGGGAGGTGATTGGGGAAACACTGGGCAAGAAATGTGACTTGAAATCCTGAACTGCGTTTTCAGAATGTCTGGATGGTTGTCGCCCTGAGATATAACAATTTCCTGTAATTAAGAATAGTCATTTTATATTTTTGTGCCTGCGACGTCTTTACGCTGAACTGAAGTCTCTTTTATTATTCGCGGGAGTCGATAGGACAGTTTAAAACATGTTTTGTTGTTTTTGGGCATGTAGGATGGCTGGTGACTCTGCTTTTTTTTGGGGGGGGAGTTTACATGAGAGGAGTGGGGACTGAGCGGTGTGGGATGTGTGGTGGGTGCCGCAGGCTTGTTGGCCCGCGATTTGGGTGCCCTCCAAAATTCATTTCATTTTGACTCAACGAACACTTTTATTCTTTATGGAATCATGTGGTGTTACAAATGGCACCCTGGACTGTTGTGTTTCGTCATCCTTTTTTTTTTTTTACGGGATGTATGAGAGCTTTGCATGCTGCGGCGGGAACTGCATTTGTTACTGTGCCATTGGTCTCTTTTTTCCTTTTGTTTTCATTCTTAGCCATTTTTACTTTTGTTGCTTATTTTATTTCTGGTCATGTTGGGACTCCTGCGTGCTCCGTGCCTCCACTTCACTCACCAAATGGAGGTGCATGACCATTGCGCTGGAAGGAGTCTTTTTTTTTTTTTTTTTTACATCCACACAGAACCATCATTGAGCGCATTTTTCTTTTATACTTCTTTTGCTTTCTTTCAGGAGATGCTCCCTTGGCTTTGCCTCCAACGGGATATGCGCAGAGTTACACGCGCTTTAAAAACCAAAGCCACGAGCTTTTTTTGAAAGGGTGGTTTATCTCTTTTCCAACATTAAATTTGTTGTCCATGTTGATGTTTTTGGTGGCGGGAGGGTGGAGCCCCTACTTGGCGACGATCCCACGTATGGTTTGGTGCTGATCCGACCAGGGCGGACTATATCCACTGCGTCGGGGAAAGGCTTCTGGTGGATCCAACGACACGGCGGCTGGGGGGAAATAATAACGGGACGGACGTTATCCCGTTGATGGTGGCCCCGCTGATGCTCGATCTGATGGACTTTCGGAGGATGATGTGCAACATCAGTGTGCCCATCCGGCTGTTGTTTTTGGTGCAGAACGGGCGGGAGGCGATGCTGTCGTTGTGCCTGCAGGAACTCGAGAGGGTCCATGGGTGGTCCGGACGCCTGGTTGTGAGTCGTCACCCGGAAAACATCGGGTACAGCGCTGCCGCGAACATCGGGTCACGGCTTGCACTCTCGCTGCCGCGCGAGGAGGTGCCTTTTGTTTTTGTGACAAACAGCGACGTAAAGTTTTCACCCGATCTTCTTCCCATCCTTCTGCGCGATGTGCATGAAATGACGAGGCATGATGCCGCTCGCATGGATGAGTTGGCGGCGGAAGCGGCGAATGGGCCGAGCGAGTCCAGTCCTGTTTTGCGACGGGGCTTGAGGGTGCTGCGCTCCACGGTGGACGATGGCCGATTGTCGACGTCTGCGCTGCTGCCTGACCGCATCCGTTATGCTTCCGTGAGGGAGCGTGAAAAAGCGTTTTCGAAGCATTACGGGCACTTCTGCGCGTAGTACAAAAGCAGTTGTTTTGTGTCTGTTTTGTGGGCACGCCTGGCGATCAGCACGGTGGGACATTTTGACGAGAACTTCTACCCAGCTTACGTGGAGGATGTCGACTACGGCCCGCATCTCCGTTTGCTTGGATTTCAGGAGCGAAATGTCTTGTGCGGCAAATTTGTGCATCGCGGCAGCTCGAGTATTCGTTTCTCTAATGAAATGGAGCTGCCGGACGCTCTCTGGTACCGTCGCGTCAGGTCTTTGAGTGCGAACCAAACATATGCCATGATGAAATGGAACCGTCCAAGGGCGTGCAGTGGCGGGTACAAGAAGCCATATAACGGCATGGTCCCCCTAGAGGTTTGGGTGAAGGATGAGGCACGCATACAACGCATTCGGGCCCACTGGCATGATGAGGAGCAAGGGGTTCTAAAGGTTGAGTGCGACAGGACACTTTTGCACCCTTTCACGACGAAAGGAAGATGAACTGGCGCCAGTCGCAATTTTTTTGTTTTTATTATTTTATTTTATTTTTTACTTTAATTATTGAAAGTTTTTTATATTTACACAAATGATATTTAAGCGAGTACGCCATGGGTTTTAAAGAGCGCAAACATATATTTGGCCTGACAGGGGGAGGGCGCAGCGTCCAAACGCGGCCGTGTTGCCGAAGGTAGGAGAGGGCGGCAGAAAGTAAGAAAGATGAAGATGATGAATGAGGGAGAAATAAAAGGGGAGGGAAGCAGGAAACAAGCCAAAAATATTGTGGGCACAACGCTGTTTCTCACCGTGGGCGATCGACACCCTCATTGGCTACTAATTTACCCACTGAAGGTGACACCCGTTTGCGCTGGATATGCTGCGTGCATATCTGTCGGGCTCTTTTTTTTGTTCTTTTGGTTTGTTTGTCTCCCGCACATTTATTTCTCCGTGCCGCCTGACTCACTCGTTTATTATTCCCCTCCCTGTTTTTTTTTTGTGCGTGCACCGAGAGAAGGGCTGAGGGACATGAAGTACGCTCCCCTTCTGTGACACGCCACCAAAAACAGGAGGAGAAAAAATAAAAGTGAAGCGGGGAGGGGAACCATCGCCACGCGTCCTTTTCTCCGTGAAGGCTGCTCGCCATGCCACTGAGGCGCGCCGTGTGCTTCACGAGGCCCGCTGGACTCGATTGGGGAGCCGTGAGTGACGGTGCGTGTTAGTGTGGCGGATGCGTCTCCCAGGCGTTCCCAGAGGACCCTCTGGCCATTGGGACTGCGCGGAATGCGGGATTCCGCGGGGCTTTTTGCCCGTTTTGTTTTTATTCCTCCATCCGCCCATCCCAAACCTCAACACGGCGGCTGAGCCAACGACTGCGACGGGATCCGTTGCGTATTTCTGAATCCTTTTTGCGTTGCAGCGGCAGGCCTGGTGTGTCCTGCTCGGCAGACACGGTGGACGGAAGTGGGCTGCCCTATCGGGAAAACGATGTTCACGGCGGAGCGTGTTGCGTACGTCGCAATTTGGCGTGTTTGTGGCGATCCTTGCGGATGGTTTGACGGCGCCTGTTTTACTTGCAGGGAGAGAAGCGATGCTCCACGGTGATGCACACGTTGCGTGTGGAGGTTTCTCTTGCTGTTGGTTTGTGAACGTTTTTTCTTTCGCTTTTGCCGGAACACCACAGAGGGCGGTGTCTGCGGACAGCAGAGCATTGCGAGGAGGGGCACCACACGATTTTTGGCGCGATGAGGCGGCTTCTGTGACTTTACGGTGTTTATTTTAGGCTTGAGAGAATATCTTTTGTTGGAATGTATTGTGGGAGACCATCCGCGTGCTTGTTTTTCTTGATTAATCCCTTGGCACTTGGTGTCTGCCGTGAAACAGATGTTGATGGCCGTTTTATGGCGGCGAGATGCATTTTTATTTCTTTAATTGGCGAGTGGGTGAATTGTGTTGCGTTCTGCCATGCGGCTTGTTGCTGAGGGCGAGTGGCCACAGGGAGACGTTGTGGGCGCCTCCGACGCGAGGTGCGATTGGGCAGTCACCTCCTCCGCTCGCCGGTACACGCTGTTGAGGCGGCGTGGTGGTAATGAATCGGCTTCCCAGAAAAGCAACGAGAGGACGTTTGCTCTTCCTGCTGCGGTGTACGAGTGAACCTCCAATCCGTGGGCGGGGTCGCTCTGTGTGCCGTATTTCTTTGAATTTCCATGAGTTTTTTACATCGCCATCCACACGCACATGCACGCAATCTCCCTGTTTGCCCTCCTGTGGGCGGGAGACCGGGATGCAAGGGAAAAATGTGGCCCGTGCCAGCACGTGGTAAAGTCTTTCTTGGGAGGAATTGCGACTGTGATGTACGTCCTGGCAGGCAGGAATGGGATGAGAGGAGAGCGGAGGGGCGAGTAACAACGATCGTGTGCGGGGCAATGCGCAGTGAGTAGGGCGGAGTGGTATTTATGTTGTGTTTTAAATGCATTTTTGTCTTTTTCTTTTGTGGCAATGGAAAGAAACTTTGGGTGGTGTGTTGTGGATTATTTGCAAATGATTCATCGCGGCAAGGTCATTCTCGGAGAAAATGGATGACATCTACGTGCGGCTTGTTTTGTGAGCGCGAGATGGTCGGGTAGTGCTCAACGCCCCGAGAGGCCCGGAGCAAAGAGGCCTGCACTGCTGCAAGCAGAGGGATGCACGCTCCTGTTGGTGGCGTTGCTGTGGAGCCCTGAATGGCCTGCAGGGAATTTGTTTCCGCCGCCTCATTATTTTATTGATTGGTGCTTGCCGCGGCCTTTTGAGGCGGGACGTGGGATGGACCGAGAGAGCGAGTGTCGTGTGACTGTGCTGTGAATTGGTGCCGCCCACGTTTGTGCAGGTAATTCCTTTTTTGTCCGCGTCGTTGCCGCGGCGGTGCACCGGGAGCGTGTGACGGATCACCGTATCACTTGCGGACTGTTTTGGCAGGACTTTGAATGGTGTCGCCGGATGATGAAATTCCGCGTGCATGTCTCTCTCTCTTTCTCTGCGTGTGTTCCGCCGTGACTTGCTGTGTTGTTGCTGTTGCTGTTTTCTGTGGGCGATGGCTCTCCGTGCTGTCCCTTCCGGATTGTTTCTTGTGCTGCCTTCTGTGTAGGAGTTCTGCTCTGCTCTCACTGACGTGTCTGGTGTGTACTGCTGTTGCTTCTGTACTCTTCTCCACCTCTTGAAAGACACGCTAGGAAAGCAAGCAACCAAACGCTAAACGCTACTGTGAAATTCGAAGGCTCTGAAAGGACCAACAGCACACACACATATTTATATGCTCTCACGTGCTGCTGCTGTGAAGGCACCCCGCACAGACTACCGTCGCCGCGTGACCGGATCCAGCGGAAGGAGGAGGGAAGGAAGAGAGAGTGAGCCGCAGAGGCCCAACATGTCCCGGCGCGTGTTTAATTTCGGGGTGCTGCTCCTCCTTTTCGTGTTGATGTGCTGTGACGTTGGAGCTGCATACGCTGGGGAGGGTAATTTAAGGGATACAGTTGATGCTTTACTGGGGATTAAGTGGGATAAGCTTGACAATTGGGAGGAGGTTAACGGAGACGGCAGGGAAATCACCTCGCTCCGCGTTCCTGGCCTCGTTAAAGTGGGTGATGATGTATTTGCCGTTGCTGAAGCGCAGTGCGGGGAAAGGAATGGAGCCGGCATCTGTGCTGGGATTGTGTCAAAGCACCTGGATATAAAGGGTGACCCAATGGATATTTCTATGTTGGATATAAGTTTGTCTTGCATGCAACTTGTGGGCACTGCCGATAATAATTTTGGTACAACAGAAGTGTTGCGACCAACGACACTTGTGCTTGGGGACAGTGTTTACATGCTCCTGGGAAACTACAGCCGTACAAAGCCGCCGGTTGAAGGTACGAATGAGCGGGGCCTTTTACTCGTGAAGGGAACTGTCTCTGGTGAGGGTGGGAAGAAGAAAATCAGATGGAATGATACCCATTTGGTGAAGCCTCAAGGGAGAGGAAAATCTGGTTCCTTGACCGGGTTAATTGGCGGCGGAGGATCGGGTGTTGTGATGCGTGACGGCACGCTTGTGTTTCCCATGCAGGCCAAGGACAGTAATGGAACGAGCGTTTTACTCTCTATGCGTTTTGACCCGTCAGACAAAAAATGGTGGCTTCCGCAAATAACGCCTGGTAAGGGCTGCAGGGATCCAACCCTGGTGAAGTGGGAGGAAGACGAATACGGCGAAAGACTCTTCATGATGGCCCATTGTGATGGAGGCTACTATGACGTTCACAAGTCCATTTTGGATGGAGGCAATTGGAATGGTCACGTAAAACCAATTACCCGCGTGTGGGGCAACTCACACAATCGATCAGGGCACGGTGTCCAGAGTGGGTTCACCACCGCAATCATTGAGGAAAAGAAGGTGATGCTCATCACTGCGCCGGTGTATGCGAAGGACAATGAAAAAGGTCGGCTCCATCTTTGGGTGACGGACAAGGCACGTGTGTATGATGTTGGGCCGGTATCTCGTAAAGAAGATGACGCCGCCGCCAGCTCGCTGTTGATAAAAGATAATAATAGTGAGTTGATTTCACTGTACGAGAACAAGAAGAGCGACGGAGCATACAATCTTGTCGCCGTGAGCCTGACCGAGAAACTGGAGCGGATAAAGGAAGTGGTGAAGACATGGAAGGATTTGGACAGCGCCTTGAAAACATGCCGTTCCGGTTCAAGTGGCACCGTTGACGCGCGCAAAAAGCGTATGTGCAAAGGTCGTGTTCCCACTGATGGGCTTGTTGGCTTCTTGTCTGGTAACTTCTCTGATAACACATGGAAGGACGAGTACCTCGGCGTGAATGCAACAGTGACGAATGGGGAGAAAAGGGTTCTCAATGGATGGACGTTCAAAGGGTCCGGAGCAGGTGCGGTGTGGCCTGTTGGCGACATGGGGCAGACTGTGCCGTACTACTTTGCGAACAACAAGTTCACTCTTGTGGCGACGGTGTCCATCCACGAGGTGCCGCAAAGTGACAGAAGCCCCGTTCCTTTGATTGGCGTGAGGATGAATGACACCAAAGGCACGGTCCTTTTTGGTCTGTCGTACACCCATGACAAGACGTGGCTGGCCATAGCGGAGGATGCTGGTGATCCGGAGGATGCTGGTGATCTGGAGGATTTTGATGAAGCGGAGGATTTTGATATTGTTAAATGGGAAACAAACAAGACGTATCAGGTGGTACTGAAAATGAATTATGATAAATGGACTGTAGTTGTGGATAAGGATGAAATCCACAATATGAGATATGATGAAAACCTGTTCAACTCACGCAGGATCTCACACTTCTACATCGGTGGGGACAGTAAGTACCAAAGTGCAACGGGCGGTCATGTGACGGTGACTAACGTCATGCTGTACAACGAGGAACTGTTCGGAAACGATCTGCGCAAACTCCATGCCAGCAAAGTCACTATTCCATCACTGGGTGCTGAGGAACAGTCCACAGAACAGGTGTCCAGCACAGACGACTCGGTTGCTTCCGAGTCATGGAGTGAAGAAAGCGTCAGCTATGAGGAATTCACTGAGGATGATACTGATGAAGAAGAGGAAGAAAGCGCCGATGTTGTGGTGCCTGCACCGTCCTCTTCCAAGGTTGACGCGGGATCATCTGTTCCTGAATCCGCCACTGCAGCAGAGAGCGCAGGGGCTTCTCATCAAGAGGACAATACCCAGCTTTCCGAAGGCGAAACGTTTCAGCAATCCACGCCGAATGAAGACAATGGATCGATGCAACGGGATTCGGGGGTGCAGACACAAGACCCACAGCCAGAGGAATTAACGGAGGTCGCTGATGTTAAAGGACCCTCTGAAAGTAATGATACACCACAGCCAGAGGAGGAGGAAGAAGCAAATGACATGAGTGACGGAACAACGTCTCCACTGACTGCGTCGTTGAGTATGGAAACGGTCACTGCACCAGCTGACGGCGAGCACCAATTGCAACAAAAAGTTGAGCTTTCCAATGAAAACAACGACGTGCGGTCCACTGGAACCGGAAATACCGGCGCGGAGCAAAGCCTCAGCCTCGAGGCGGGGGACGGAAATTCCGAGAGAACAATGGGCTCAGACAGCAGCCTCACTCCTTCAGAGAGTGACGCCGAAACAACATCCGCGGGGAACACTGACGACGTCTTTCGGACTAAAGGAGCCGAAGTTTCTTCTGAAAACGGCAATGAGGTGCCACAGACAGTCGAAACCGCACCGGGCAACACAAACACCACGCCTGGGGAAACCGCGATCCCGTCGGAGTCCAACGCAACAACACCCTCGGACACTGAAATTTTGCTTGAGAACGGGCATTACAGCGAGTTGGCGGGCATGTATCTAATTGCTGAGAGCACAGTGCATGTGTGTGTGTCTCGGGTGTTGTTGCTGCTTCTGGGGCTGTGGGGCACCGCGGCTCTCTGCTGAATGAATTGGGGAGAGCAAATTTGCGAAATTCTGTGGAGCAACAGCTGAGCGGCACCCCAGCATTACTCAATGAGTTTTTTAAATTCCACTTTCTTTTTCTTTTTTTTTCTTTAATCATTTCCCTCATCTTGCTTGTTGCTTTAGGACAATCACTATGGACGTTTTTTTCTTTTCTACTCTTTTAAATTGTTTGTTGCTGCACTCTTCCTGCGAGGGGTGCCGTGTGTTTGCCGCCCAACTGCTCCACTCGCACACCCACCGACACGCTCACGACGACGGCCCTGTGCGCCTCGCCTGCTGCACGCATGAGGAGGGGCCGCGACGAACGGCGCGCTGAGGGAGCCGTGACGTGTGGGCGTGCGACGAGGGCCTGTGGGGCGGCGCACACATTTCTCTCCCTCTTGTTTTGTTTTCTTTGCGGCCAGGGCTGGCAGACACCCGCAGCGCCACACGCACAGCCACACCCTGCCGCCGTGTTTTTCTTTAAGGATTTTTTTTTCTTTGCGTGTTTATTTCATGCGGTGGCGCACCCTTCGGTGTCGGCCTCGTGAGCATTTCTCTCCCCTCCGATGATTTCTTTTTCTTTTGCTGCGCTCACTCTCCCGATGGAGTGACGCGACTGCCGTCATGTCTGCGTGCTTCTCTCAGTCCCCACACACACGAGTGACTGTGCTCTGCGGGCCGCACTCACGCGCCGATGGGAGGGCCGAGGGGAGCAGCAACACGCAGACGACCCCGTGAAATATAAACGATGTGCGGACACGTGGAGGGTCAGACGGTTGAAGCACACGCAACCATCTTTTTAATTTTCTTTTGCGGGCAAAATATATGCAAACAATTTCTGGAGCAACATGGTGGTTTTTTTTTTCTTTTTTATTATTTTTGTGTGTAGCCGTAATAGAGGACGAAATTTTTTCATTTTTTTCTTTTTTTTTTTTTCATTTTTTTCTTTTTTTTTTCCATTTTTTTTTTTTTTCTTCTTTTCAAAGTGTGAGGGGTGGAAGGGTGAAGATGAATTTTTTTTTATTTTTAATAAATTTTTTATGAATTGCCGCTGCTTTGTCTGCAGTGCAATATCATGAGCTTGAGCAGCCTTTTTCTCTTTATTTCTGCCATACACCTCTGCAGTGCTGTTTTTGTTTGTGTGTTCCTTCACATGCTCTGCCCCTGTTTTTACTTCTTTGCCTCGTGTGTCTGCAGGCACACACAACCACATGCACGCACAAGATGCACATGGCAGTGGATTTGGATGCTTCTTTTGTAGCGGTTGCTGGCGGTTGCGTGTGGCTGCTGCTTCCTCCGTGGGCATGAAGGGAAGGAGGAGAGAGGGAGCGCGCACCGCGAGTCACTCTTCCTGCGGGTGTGATGCACGCGGTGGGCTGCGACTGCTGTGGAGTGCCGCATCCTTTCGGTGTGAGTGGAATGGCTGGAAATTTTGTGCCGCGTCATGGATGGATGAGGATCGCCTCCGCGTGTGTCTCTTTGGGTGATTGCTTGCTCGGTGTGCGTAGTGTGTTGGCAGCGGGCTGTGGCCGTGTTCCGTTGGCCGTGGGATTGAACTGGAGGCGGTGGCGGTGTGTGCGTTTGCTGTGTGGAGGGCCGAATCCTCTTACCCGCGGACTGACAGCACTGCGATGGTGCCTGTGTGTGTGTGAGGGCTGGTGCGGGCGATGCTCCTCTGTGCTGTTCCTTCCGGATTGTCTTGTGTCCCGCCCTCTGCGTGGGTGCTCTGGTCTGGTCTCCACGAACGTGTCTGATGTATTGCCGCTGCTGCTGTCCCCTCCACCTCTTGAAAGCACACGCTAGGAAGGTAAGACATCAAGTGCGAATCGCTACTGTGAGATTCGAGGGCTCTGAAGGACCAACAGCACACACACATATTTGTACGCTCCCACGTGCTGCTGCAGTGATGGCACCCCGCACACACAACCGTCGCCGCGTGACCGGATCCAGCGGAAGGGGGAGGAAAGGAAGAGAGAGTGGGAAGCAGAGGCCCAACATGTCCCGGCATGTGTTTAATTCCGCCGTGCTTCTCCTTCTTTTCGTGATGGTTTGCTGCGCCACCTGTGGAGCTGCAGCCGCTGTGGAGGACAGCGATTCAGTGGCGGATCCAAATTTTGCATGGAGGGGCGTCACTGATGACAAGGAAACTGTGGACTCGTTGGGCGTTCCCAGCATCCTGAAAGTGGGGACCGACGTGTTTGCGGTCGCCTAGGCGCAGTGCAAGGAAAGAGGTGAAGCATCTAATATCTTTACTGGCATTGCGTCCCAACTTCTCACGGAAACAAGGGATAGCGCACCGGTGGAAGTAATGAATGAGGCCAAAAAGTATACACAAGTACTGGAGGAAGGCACGTCCCCACACAGTAAGAAAGTAGATGTGAGCCGACCAAGAACAGTTGTGAATGGAAGCGATATTTACATGCTTGCTGGAAAATACAGCCGGACAGCTGCTACTAATCCGCAGGAGAGGGGTGCAGGTGACTGGGTACTTTTGCTGGTGGAGGGGGAAGTCAGTTCTGAAGAAAGTGGCAGTAATAAAAAAATCCGGTGGAATAAGAACCAGCGACTGGCCGGCACTTTCCCTGAGGCCGAACGGGATTCCTTGATGCAGCTGGTTGCAGGCGGTGGATCGGGCGTTCAGACGGATGACGGAACGCTTGTGCTGCCAGTGGAAGGCACGACGAAGAAGGGTGAATCAGAAAAGGGTGGAAAGACCGTCTCACTGTTCATATACTCCTTGGATGATTCTGGTTGGACGCTGTCGAAGGGGATGTCTGACGGTGGCTGCGGTGTTCCCTCCGTCGTGGGGTGGGAGAAGGACAAACTCATGATGATGACTGCGTGTGCTGATGGCCGCCGCAGGGTGTACGAGTCCGGTGACAGGGGAGATTCGTGGACGGAGGCACTCGGGACACTCTCGCGCGTGTGGGGCAACAAATACGAGGAACAGACGAAAAGTGTTGCGAGCGGGTGCACTACAGCGACTTTTGAAAATGGAGATGCCAACAAAAAAGTGATGCTCGTTACTCTGCCGGTGCATTCTAAGGAGAAAGGCGGCGAAAAGAAGGAGAAGAGTGGACTCCATCTTTGGCTGACGGACAATACGCGCATTGTTGATATTGGGCCGGTGTCCGAGAAGGACGAAGACGAAGTTGCCGCCAGCTCCCTGCCGTACAAAAGTGCTGGAGGTGAAGATAATAATAATGAGGATAGGTTGATTGCACTGCGCGAGAAGAAGGGCCTTGACGAAACACCACACAGCCTTTTGTCTGTGCGTTTGACTGAGCAGCTGGAGCGGGTGAAGGAGGTGCCTGCGACCTGGAAGAAGGTGGACGAACATGTCTCCCAGCTGTGCCCCACTTCAAGTGCTGCGAAGAGTGCCTTAACTGACAATGCCTGCAGCGCTGTTAAGATTGCGGATGGGCTGGTTGGCATTTTGTCCGGCAGCTTCTCTAATGACACATGGAGGGACGAGTACCTCGGCGTGAACGCCACGGTGATGAAAGGGACGAAAGGAGTGGCAACAGGGTATGCCGAAGGTGCGACGTTTCAGGGAGCGCGTGCGGAGTGGCCCGTTGGCAGGCAGGGGGAGAAACAGCCGTACCACTTTGCGAACCACAAGTTCACTCTTGTGGCGACGGTGTCCACTGACAAGGCACCGAAGGAGGAAGATAACTCCACTCCTTTTTTGGGTGTGCGTCTGGGCACTGAAGGAGGATCCAAACTTATGGAGTTGTCGTACAACAGCGAAAAGAAGTGGAAATTGTTTTGCGCTACCGAAACGAACAGGGAGCACAGCAGCACTTGGGAGCCGGAGGCAGCACACCAGGTGGCCATTGTGCTACAGAACGGCAACCAGGGCTCCGTGTACGTTGACGGTCAGCGTGTGGGTGGGGAATGAACCGTGTGCATTTGGAAATGCGGAACCGAAAGGCATCTCACACTTCTACATCGGAGGCAGCACAGGCAGCGCAGGGAGTCAAGGTGAAGTGTCTGTGACCGTGACAAACGTCCTGCTGTACAGCCGTCCGTTGGATGATGCAGAGATCGGCGTCCTCAACGCAAACAAAATTTCTATTCCAAAGCTGACAGATCTAAAAACAGTGGCGGAAGGAGCACCGGGTGAAGGTACCGCTCGTGACGGTGGGGCACATGGTGATGGCGGCGCTGTGCGTGAGAGCGGACTGCTGCCATTGCTGCTTCTACTGTTGGGACTGTGGGGTTTGCGGCTCTTTGAGGAGTGACTGGCTGCCGCGTGGGACACATGCGACCTCCCCTGCACCGACACACACACCTGGCAGTGAATTTCTGTTCTCAACTTTTATTCACTTTTCCCCCTGTTTGCGTTGTCGTGTGTTTTTAAGTTTTTTATTTCTATTTTTTATTTTACCCTCATCCCTCTTTTTTGCTTTTGGGGCAGTCACTATGGACGTTTTTTTCTTATTTTCAGATTTGTGGAACAGTAATGGACGATTTCTTTTATAATTATTTCGTGTGATGGGGTTTATATAGGACGACGAGGAACGTCTTTTTAAAAATGCATCTTGTGTGAATTGCCGCTGCTTGGGCTGCGGTGCAGTCATGAGTTTGGACGGTCTTCTTCCTGTTGTTTCCGCCATGCGTCTCTGCTGCACATTGTTGTGCGTCTCTCCACATACTCTGCTCCTCTTTTCTACTTCTTTGCCTTGTGTTTCAGCAGGCACACACAACCACACACAGGATGCACATTGCAGTGGATATGAATGCTCCTTTTGCAGTGCATGCTGGCAGTTGCGTGTGGCGACCGTTGTCTTCTTCCGTGGCCATGAGGAGAAGGGAGGAGAGGGAGCGCGCAGCCCGAGTCTATTTTCCTGCAGGTGTGGTACACCGCGTGTGACTGCGTTGAGTTGGGCTCCGTGTCCCATTGAGGGCGGGATGGCAGGAAATTTTGTTGCCGCGTGATGGATGGATGAGGGTTTGCTTGCGCGTGTGCGTAGTGTGGTGGCCGCGGTGTTTTTTGCCATTTCCCTGGGGCTGTAGCGATGAGCTTGGGGAGATGGTGGTGGATGTCTTCTCCTCCTGCATGGTGGGTGGCTGCTGGCGTTGTGTGCCTTCCTTGCGTGGATGCCGTCTCGTGGTGTGTGAACTGTGCGGCTGGGCCTGCTGCCCTCTCCTCATGCTGTCTGCTCTCACTCGCTGTATCCACTGCACTCCGTCACTCTCCCTCCCGTTCCATTCCTTTTTCTTCTGTCTCACGGATCTGCTCACTGACACCAGCGACTCCACTACGGGTGATGGTGATGATGACTGCGATGATGACGATTGTGGCGGTGCGGCACCGTGTCTGTCCTTTCGCTCTTGTGCTTCTACTGCTGCAGTTCCGTGTGTGTGACGGCGACTGGGAGCCCGAGTCTCTTTTCCTGCGGGTGTGATGCGCGCGGTGGATGTGTCGTGTGCTCCGAGTGACGGCAGCCTGAGCTATCGCGTGTGCGTGGGTGTGTGGGCGTGGAAAAAGCGTTCTGCTGCGAGTGCTGAGACTCAGCGTGAGAATTATACGTTCAGTGGCTTTGATTTGCGCATGCATGGCAGGAATGGTGAGCTGGGTGCTGTGTACCGTGTGGCCAGTGCGGTGCACACATGTAGCAACTGTGCTGCCAGCTGTGCAGTGAAAGAGGAAGGGGCCACCGTTGCCTTCACGATGAATGTGACGACAAATAAATACGCCGGCCTTTATGAATTGTGGCGGGGTCAATTTTCTCCCGATGGAACCATCCATCCGCCTGCACGGAGCAGCGATGCTGACCGGACGGGCATCCGTCACACACCGCCACCCCGTGAAGGGAAGAATGACACAAAATCCTGTGGGACAACTGCGCCGCAAGTGAATGCTGAGCCGTCACGTCAGTACGAGGATTGGCGACAGTCTGCTGCGGCTGACGGACCCAACACCGTCGACCAGAGTCCCGCATCCAGCACGGCGACCAACACGTCCGAGACGAGGCCTGAGTTTGCCTTTGTTTGAAACAGAATAATGGCTCGGACACCACCCGAAAGAAGGCCACGCCTGTCACCGAGCCAAAGGGGGATCCCATTGATGATGGGATGAGTGGTTCAATAAATGTTGAGTTACTGCACGGAGTCGATCTATTTGTGCTGCAGACGACGCTGGTGCAGCCGAAGGATGGGATTGTTCCAGTTACGACGAGGGATTCGTTTGCCTCACCCTCTCCTGCCAGTGCTGGTGGAGTAATTGCTGCTTTCGTCGAGGGTCACATGGATGCCGAATATCAAGGTGGTCAATTAAGTAAGCTCTTTTCTTCTGATGTGGTTGCGGGGTGCATTGACTCTGCGTGGAATTGGTCCACTGTTGTTGGTGAGGTAAAAAAGGATGCATGGAGGGCACACACTGTGCCTGGAGCAGCGGATGGAGAGGAGAGTTTGGGTGTAGTGCTCCGCCCCACAACAATCACGAAGGGCCACGGAGTGTTTCATCCTGCGGGAGGCTCTGATGTGTCCTACGAAGGTATGTGTTGGAGAGAGGGCGGCTTGGAGCCGAAACTGGTTGTGGGTGATGTCACGAACCCCACGGGTGGCAGGCAGAGTGGATCAAATGGGGCGACCCCAAACCACTCCCGAAACGGATCTCTTCTGCTTCCCACAAGGGGAAATGGACGGAGTTCATTGCTTCTGGTGGCGCAGGTGTTGTGATGGAGGATGGCACGCTTGTGTTTCCTCTGATGGCGGTGAATGAGGCAGAAGACGTTTGCTCCATGATCATTTACTCGACGGACAGCGGCAGTGCCTGGGCGCTCTCTGAGGACATTTCCTCTGCGGAATGCCTTAACCCCCGCGTCACCGGATGGGAGGGATCACTTCTCATGATTGTTGACTGCGAGAATGGCCAGAGGGTGTACGAGTCGCGTGACATGGGAACAGCGTGGACGGAGGCACTCGGGGCAATCTCAGCCGTGTGGGTCAATGCACGATCAGGAGTCTCCCAGAAGGAAAGCCTGCGTGTGGATGCCCTCATCGCCGCGACCATTGAGGAAAGGAAGATCATGCCGTACAGTCAGAGGGCACGCCTCGGGGGAGAAAAGGGCCACTGCGCTCTGCCTTTGGGTCATGGACAACAACCGCACATTTTCCGTTGGACCGGTTGCCGTGGACAATGCTGCGGGTTGGATGCTCGCCAGGACCCTGCTGCACTCGGATGGCAGTTTGCATCTTTTACGACGGAGGGGCAACGGTGAGGGCCGCGTCATCTCACTTTCCCGCCCGACGGTGGAACTGAGTGCAATCAAGTCCGTCCTCAGTACTTGGGCGCAAAAGGACATTTTCTTCTCTAGATTGTCAATACCCGCGGCGGGTCTGGTGGCAGTTTTTTTCGATGCGGCTATCGGTGACACGTGGAACGACGAGTACCTTTGCCTGCATGCAACGGTGAAGGAATGCAGCGAAGGACAACGATGGGTTACAATTGACGGGACTTGAGTCCAGGGCAATATGGCCTGTGAACACTCGGGGTGATGAAGTGCGTCATGTATTCTTGAGCCACGACTCCACACTTGTGGCGTCGGTGACCATCGAAGGGGCTCCGAGTGGGAACACTCCTCCACTGACTGCGGTGCTGGCGCACACTGCGTCCAATCATACCGTGGGACTGTCGTGCAGCCATAATAATAAGTGGGAGACAATGTTCAAAGGCAAGACAACAACACGGAACAGCACTTGGGAGCCGAGGAAAGAACACCAAGTGACACTCATGCTGCAAGGCAACAAGGCTTCTGTGCACACTGATGGTCGGTCGCTGGGGGAGGAAGAGGTGCCGTTAGCAGGCGAGAGGCCACCCGAGGTACTGAGGTTTTTCTTTGGGGCGTGCGGTGGGCACGAATCTCGTTTGACGGTGACGAACGTCTTTCTGTGCAGCCGCCCACTGAACTCCACTGCGATGCGTGCACTCAGGGAAAGGGTCCCCGCTCCGACGAGAGAAGCGGCTCCGACACCGCCCGAGAAGATTCGAGTAGTCGACAGCGTCAGGGAGCACGTTGCTGGGAATATTACGGAAGAGAAATGAATGGGCACAACGCCCCTGGGCACGAATCCCCACTACAAATAGTCACCTTGCAGGGTGTGGAGCGGCGTGAGTCCCGACGACCGCCTCGCCTCTCCCAACGACGTGAAATTGACACCGCGTGATTTAGGCGGCAACAACACCGTGCGTGCGTGCGTGTCTTGTGCGTTGCTGCCTCTAATGGGATTGTGTTTGGGTGGTGACAGCCTTCTGAGCCACAGAGTGTGGATCCGCGGCTCCTCACCTAGAATACATGCCGAATTGCCCGCCTTTTTTTTACTTCTATTTCTTCAATTTCTTTACTTTTAAATGTCTTTTTTCACTGTAGTTCAGCTGGAGCAGTAAGTACTGTTGTTTTTCCTTTACGTAATGTATGTTTGCTGCAAACTGTAATGAGCGAAGTGTTTTTCCTACTGTTTTTCTTCTTTTTTGTTGCCCGCACGCGGTGCCGGCCCTGCGGCTGTGCGTCCCACGGACTGCACGAAAGGGGGATTGGAGGAACAGGCGGGATGCCGCACGAAATGTGAGGGATGTTGTGTGGGCTGCTGGAATAATACGATCTTTTTTATTATTACGTTTTTCGTTTGTGCAGGTAATATGTGCAAGCACCCAATCGTCTTTAGCTGCATGGCACATGAAAGTCCTGCCGAATCATTTTTCTTTTTTTTTTCCATGAGTCCTGCAGGGGACCCACATTTTGTTTGTTTGTTTGTTTCATTTTTTTCATTTTTCGGTAATTCCCTGCGGATATGTTTTTGTCTCCGCCGTTTTGACTGTTACTTTGTTTCTTCTTGTTTCGTTGGGTGTGTCCCTCTGCTGATTGTGCTTCTGACATTTTCCATTTCTTCTGC